GCTGTATAATTTGTGAGTTTTGAAACAGGTGATTTTATTATCTATTCAATAATTTAAATTTTAAAAACCAAAATTAAAAATACTTCAATGTCCCCACAGTCCAATCCACTACCTGCCTCCAATTCCTCTCCTTTCACGGCAAATCCCTAGAGAGAATGATCTCATCTTCTCCGTCTTACCCTCTCCACCGTACCCTCAACCAACTCCTCTGCCTTCCAGCCCTACAACTCCCCAAAAACAGCACTTGCTAAGGCTCCAATGGCTTCCATATTCTACATTCAAAAGACCCTGTGCAATATGCACAGAGAGACAATACAGCAGGGACCCCATTTATACCAAAAAAATTTTTTTGAAAATTAGGCAGGCACGGTGGTTCCTGTAGTCCCCACTACTCACAAGGCTGAGGCAGGAGGATCACCTGAGCCCAGGAGTTCAAGGCTGCAGTGAGCTATGATCACACCACTGCACTCCAGCTTTGGTGACAGAGTAAGACCCTGTCTCAAAAAAATAAATAAATAAAATATTTTATATAGAATGGTCAGAAAGGTCTTTTTGGAGGAGTGACATAAGAGAAGTGAGAGAACAAGCTATGTGGTTATCTGCAGACTGATGTTCCAGCACAAAGGCCTAAGGTGGGAGCATGCTTGGTGTGTCTGAGTAACACAAAGGAAGCTGCTGTGGCTACAGTGGCATGAACAAGGGGAAAGGATAGGTGCAGAGGGTGGTAGGTGCAACAGGGGCCCAAATCACGTAGTACCTTTATAGAAATAATGGGATGTGGAATCCATTTTGAAGGTGGAGCAGACAGCATTTGCTAACTGGGCATGGAATCTGGCAGGAATGGCAGAGGAGAGAGAGTCAAGAGTGACATCAAAGGTCTTTCGCCAGCAGTGGAAGGATACAGGTGCCATTAACAGAAATGGGAAAGACTTCAGGAAGAGCAGATCTGGGATAAAATCAAGAGTTTGGTTGGGGGCATGTTTAGCTTGAGGTGACTATCAGACCTACTACTGGAGAAGTCTAATACTCTGTGCATATACAAGCAAACACCCACACCAATATGAACCTAGAGTTCCGGGGACAGGTTTTGGCTGAGAAGCAAGTTTGAGCCTCATCAGCACATAGAGGTGTTTCAAGCCATAAAACAAGATGAGATCAACTAAGGACTGAAAGCAGACAGAGCAAGGAGAGGGGACTGGGAAATAAGACTAGGGGCTGGGCACAGTGGCTCATGTCTATAATCCTAGCACTTTGGGAGGCCAAGGTGGGAGGATCGCTTGAGGCCTGGAGTTCAAGGTTGCAGTGAGCTGTGATCATGTCACTCACTGTACTCCAGCCTGGGCAACAGAGTGAGTTCCTGTCTTTAAAAAAAAATAAGACTAAGAAGGAACAATCAATGAGTAAGAGAAGTACTATGGGGTGCTCACAAGCCAAGTGAAAACAGAGTTTCAAGACCGGGGGAATGGCCAAGCACGTTGGCTCACGACTGTAACCCTAGCACTCCGGGAGGCTGAGGCGGGAGGATCGCTTGAGCTCAGGAGTTCGAGACCAGCCTAAGCAAGAGTGAGACCCTATCTCTACTAAAAATAGGAAAAATTAGCCAGGCATGGTGGC